CTTATACTTGTAATCATTCTTTGAGAATAATATTTCATACTATTTATAAAATGATACTTGTTACCATTTATAAAATGATACTTGTTAAGTAGTCCCTCCAAAATTAAGAAGAAAAAAAAAAGTTGTCATTTATTTTCACAAGAAATGTTAGAGATTTACAAATTAGATTCCTAAATTCATCTATAATGACAAATTAAAAATTGACACTTATCGTGCCACATTATTATGGGTCAAATTGGAGAAACTCTTTTAGAGGTCTCAAATATTTTTCTATTTTCACCAAGAGTAGTGGTAGAGACCCATGATTTGTATCTCTAAATTCATTCATAATAATATAATAATAAGAAAGATAAATCCTATACAATTAAATATGTGACAAATCAAATATTAATATTTATTATACCATATCATTATTGAGTCAAATTAAAATACAGTAATGCTACAGACCCCCAGTGTCACGTGTCGGCTCGGGATTGGCTGAAAATAAAAAAACTATTTTTTGAACCAATAAAAAGGGACCCAGCACCCCCACTGGGGTCGAACCTTTATTCATTAAAATAACTCTTTTTGGGTCTTAAATATTTTCTTATTTTCACCGGACAAAACCATATTGTATTTATCCCAATACCACCAAGTAATTTTCCATTGTGGAGAGCTAGGTGGAGTTTGGATTTGATCAGATATATACATGATTGCTGGACCCAGCTGAAAATGAGTACCTGTGTTTTACTTCCACGTGGACATCCACTTAACTCGAAATTGATTCGACGAAACCACCCAATCAAAACAACCTCAATACTGTTTTGCAGATGATAATAATGATGATCCCGTACTGGGCCTGCTTTTTGGATGTCCCAATGAAAACTTAAACCCAGCCCAAGTGTGCGTCGTGAAGTGTTTGAGCTGAGGTGCCTGCTTGATTCAAGATCCCAACCCAATTTTTTTTTTTAAAAAATAGCTACTTTCGTAAAATCAAAATTTTAAAAATTAAGTACTGTCGAAATTTAAGTGTTAAATTTTATCAAAATAGTACGTTGAGGTGACGGTGCAACGGTGATGATAGTGACAATAATTAGAGTTGTTTGGTGATATAGTGACGTACTTGTGGTGATAGTAATAGTAAAAATGATGATAATAGTAATAATAGGTAGTGCAGTGACGATGGCATTGGTGGAGTGGAGTGATGGCATTCAACAATTATTTAATCATATGGGATTAAAATTTTAGCATTTAACATTAAGAATTAAGTTTAAAAAAAGTCTTTAACTTATAATTTTATCATGTTTTTAAAAGGTCATAATTTTAAGTGATACAAATTTTAGTTATCTAATATAATTTATTTTAAGTGTTAAATTTAATTATCAAATATCACCAAATATACATTTAGAATTTTGAAACCTAATACTATGTTGATTTGTTTGGCACAGGCTCCGTTTGGGAAGAGAGGTTTAGAGTTTTTTTAGTTAAAATAATCACAAAAAATAAAATAGGCTTTTTAGCTTAACAAGACAAAACATCTCATCCAATCTATAATCATAACATTCTTTCTCTCACAAAAAAGTCAAAAAAGCCAAAAGTCTTTCCCAAACTAGGTTTTTTAGCTCCAGAATAAAATAACTAAAAAAGTTAAAAAGTCAAAGAGCTAACCGACTTTCCAAACGAAGCCACAGTTTATTGTAAGCTAAAGTTTAACCCAATTTTAGATAATAATTTTTTTCAATTTAATTAAGTTATTTTTATATAATAAATTATAAACAAAAATTATATTAAATATATTATTTAAAAAAAATTTATAAATGGCAATCACTGAAGTATAAAACAGCCGCATGAAACATTGGATCAGACCACAATGATGTTCTAAGAAAGTTGTAAGGTGGTCAGAGGTGTCAGACCAGTAGTAGTAGAGATGGCCCATGGAGGCCCATGAAAAAGGACAAAGGCTCTGCCCTCTGCCCAAAACGAACTGGAAAGTTAGAACACCCAGTTCTTCGGGAAAATTATTTTGTGGTGCTGTGGCAAATATTTAGGGTGTGTTTGGTAACATTTACGTTTTCAGTTTATATTTACAAAAATTTATAAACTGGTTTTTGTTTATCTTTTGTTTATTTTTAGAAAAACATAAACTACAAACGTGTTTGGTAATTGAAAAAATGTTTAAAAAATTTTAAAAATGTAAAAAAGAGTGAGAAATGGCAAGTGATAGCAAGTGGCGGCGGAAGACGGTGGTAGAAAGTGGTGACGGTGGGTAGCTGGTGGTGGCAGATGGGTAGTGGTGGTGGCGGGTGGATGGGTGACGCTAATGTTGGGTGATAAAAAAAAAAAAAACTGAAAACTCAAAATGGAAACACATTTTTTGTGTTTTCATTTTTTGGCCAAATTTATAAACTGAGACCACTGATTTATAAATCAAAAATTTTACCAAACAAGTTTGTATTTGAGTTTTTAAAATTTTTGTAAATATAAACAGAAAACTGAAAACGTAAGTGTTACCAAACGGCACCTTAACGTCCCAATTTGATATTTATTAATTAAAATAAGGGCTAATTAGTAATAAATTTAATATAAAAAGAGTATAAAGTATTAGATTTAATGGATATTTTTTATTGATAAGAGGTTCACATTTTGTGAAATAGTTTGGCGAGAAATCCTGGAAAACATTTTGTTTTTAATTTTATTCCTTGATTTTTTTTATCTATTTGACTTTTTATTAACTATTTGTTGAAATTATTTTTTATCAATTGAAATTATTTTTATCTGTTAAAATTTCATATGTTCAAATTTTTTTATCTGTTAAAAATATCTGTTTAATTTTTTTGAATCTGTTGAAATCTTTGCTCCTCTCTTTATTTTAACCTTTCTCAACAATGGCCACCACCAAAAGTTTTTATCTGTTCAATTCCTATCTATTTATTTTTTTATCTATGAAAAGTCATTTGATATTTTTTTATCTGTTGAAATTTAAATCTTTGTGATTGAAATACACTAAATCTCTATCTGTTCAAATTTTGAACAAATGTATTCTATCTTCAATCTATTCGCGCATATATCTGTTGAAATATGCCTATACAATCCATACATATACATATTTTGGGATCTAAAGACAGATCAAGAAACCACTACTGTGTGTGTAGATTTGCGATGTCCATGTTTGTAGATAAACATTGATAACAGGAAGGCAATGAAGGAATTTTGCAAAGAAACCAAAAGAATTACCAAAGTAACTTTTAGACTTGTTATGTAAGAATCTAAGGATTGATAATAAGGGCGGACCTAGGGCTGAGCATAGGTGGCTGCAACTTAGCCCAAAATTTAAAAAATCTGTAGAAATTATTTTTTCCAGCCTCCCAGCCTAGCCCAAACAAGGGCCAATAGTTTTTTTGTTTGTTTGTTAGATAGGCAGCCCAATAACAGCCCAATAACAGCCCAATACTTATCCAAAAAAATATATAGGCAGCCCAATAGGTTTGTATTTGTTTAAAGAACAAATCTTCCGAGACAATTCTCACATCTTCCAATAGATAGGGAGCGGCCCTCTCTCCGCCGTCTTCACCAGCCTGCAGAAGCCCTACTTTCCTAACATTTTTTTTTGTAAGTGCAATTAACCAATTATTTTATTTCGTTGGTTGAGAATGGATTTGATTAACAATGGTTTTGAAATTTTGTCTTTATGCAACAAATATTTTATTGATCTTAGTTTTTTTGTAATGCTACCTTATTCAATATTCTATATTGCTCTTAGTTTTTGAACTTTGAAGGAGTTTTTTTGGACATATATAAAAATAATGAAAGCCTAAATAAAAATTATTGAGGATAAATATAAAAACCCTAATATTTAAAATTATTGTGAATATACTCTAGTTTAATATTAAATAGGGCTATTTTTTTTTTTAAAAAAAAATAATTAGGTTATAAATAATGGAACCTCCACCACTAAAAAGATGCAAAACTCTTTTCTCATTCTATCAATCAAAACAAAAGTTTAGTAGTACAACATCCAATGTTGTTGAAATCTCATTTTCTGATGTACAACTGCCTTCCATGCCTCAAGCAAATAAACCAAGCAAATTTGATTTAACTATTATTGAACCGGATCCTAGTTTACGCTTACAAATTTGTGAATATCCAGTTAATCAACAGGATAAGGTTAGATGAGCTTATGTGAACTTGGGGTCTTGTTAACCTAAACTTGAGTATCCTAGGTCCTTATTTGGAAAGTAGAATCGCCAATTCCAACATATTTGGTTTAAACGATTTTCTTAGCTAGAGTATTCTACTTCAAAGGATAAAGCATATTATTTTCATGTTTTTGGTTTAATCAGCCAAATAAGTCGATCAGTCGTTCTACGTTTGTTGATGAGGGGTTTAACAATCGGAAAAGAGTAAATGATGGATCTAAATGTGTTTTTTTGCTTCATATCGGACTTGTATCTTCATCGCATAGTATTCCAACATATTTGGTTTAAACAATTTTCTTAGCTAGAGTATTCTCCTTCAAAGGATAAAGCATATTGTTTTTCATGTTTTTGGTTTAATCAGCCAAATAAGTCGATCAGTCGTTCTACGTTTGTTGATGAGGGGTTTAACAATCGGAAAAGAGTAAATGATGGATCTAAATGTGTTTTTTTGCTTCATATCGGACTTGTATCTTCATCGCATAGTCATTGTGTTATTAGTCATGACAATTTAAAGAAATCTTCCCAACATATTGAAAAAGTGTTGAATGCACAATCAAAAGAAGAGATTTTGAAAAATCAAATTCAAGTAAAGGCAACAATTGAAACCATTCAAGTACTTGCTCTTCAAGGACGTGGTTTTGGAGGTCATGATGAAAGCTCAACTTCATTGAATCAAGGCAATCTAATTGAATTATTAAAGTTCAATGCGAGAGGGAATGATGCACTTGAGAGCATTATATTAAAGAATGCTCCACAAAATGCCAAATACACTTCTCCGAAGATCAAAATGAGATTTTGCATATACTTGCTAACAGAGTTAGGAATATGATTTTTGATAAAGTTACAGGAGGTTATTTTTGTATTCCTGTTGATGAATCCCAAGACGAGTCTAAAAAAGAACAAATGGCCCTTATTTTGAGATACGTCAAGAATGATGGTTTGCTAGGGAAACGGTTCTTTGATATCGTGGGTGTCAAAAATACATCTACATTAACTCTTAAAAAAGAGATATCGAATATCTTTTCTCGATTTAATCTCATTATTCAAAACATGCGTTGTCAAGGGTATGACGATGCTAGCAATATGCGTAGTGAATGGAAAAGACTTCAAGCTTTATTTCTTAAAGATTGCCTATATGCATATTATGTACATTGCTTTGCACATCGTCTGCAATTAGCCTTTATTGTGACAGTAAAAGATGAGCCTAATATTTGGCAATTTTTTTCTCACTTGAGTTGTATTGTCAATCTTGTTGCTTCTTCTTCAAAGCGCCTTAGTGAGTTAAAATCTTTTCATATGAGTGAGGTTGAAAATATGTTGGCTAGTGGTGAGTGTCAATCTGGTAAAGGGGCCAATCAAATTGGTACCTTGCATCGAGTTGGAGCTACTCGTTGGAGCTTGCATTATGACTCTGTTAAAAACTTGTTTGATATGTATGAGGCATCTTATGTATTTGTTGAAAGTCTCAAGAAGAGTACAAATCAACAAATTCGTGAGCAAGCTTATGGTGTTTACAAAGTAATAAAGAGCTTTGAATTCATATTCGTCTTAAACTTGACGGACAACATTTTAGGAATCATGAATGCACTTTGTCAAGCCTTGCAACAGAAAACTCAAGACATCTTAAATGCGATGAAATTAGTCTCTACAACAAAAGCTCTCCTTCAAAAACTTAGACAACATGATTGAGAATTTTTTCTTACAAATATGGTGTCATTTTGCAATTAACATAACATTACGGTGCATGACATGAGTTTTTCTCATGAAGAGGGTACAAGTCGTCGTTGTTAACAAGATCACATTATAATTAAGCATCATTATCACTTTGACATATTCAACTCTACAATTGATTTTCAATTGATGAAGTTAGAACATAGATTTTATGATGGGGTAGTGGAACTTCTTTCTTTTAGCTCGGCTTTGGATCCTAGTGGCAATTTTAGATCTTTTAATGTGGATAATATTTGCAATCTTGTCGAGAAATTTTATTCCCAAGATTTCACTTCTCAGGACATCCATGCTTTGAGATGTCAACTAATGCATTATAAGCTTGATGTTGTTTGTGAGCCCGAGTTTCATAAAGTTCGAGCATTACACCATGATCTACAGATTGATTCATCTTGTGTCGGCCCTTCCTATTTCTATGGCAACTACGGAAAGAGCATTTTTGCATATGAAACATGTTAAAACTGCCATTAGCAATTCAATAGGGGATGAGTTTCTTGCCGATTGCTTGTCTCTTTACCTTGAACGAGACCTTACTTTGAAAATTGATCTAGATTCTGTAATCGATGAATTCGAATCTTTAAAGGTCCGTCGAGCACAACTTAGTTAGATTGTTTCTAATCAATAAATTTAGATATTAATCTAGATTATATTATTAAATTCTCTTTTTTCTTATGTAGTTATACTTAGAATATATTGTATAATTTTACCTTAATATTAGCCCACCCCATCGACGAATCCTGGGTTTGCCCTTGATTGATAATAGGAAAGTAATGAAGATCTATGGCATTTATCTACAAACAAGAGTTGTGGCATCAATCTGCGATGTTGATCTACAAGATCCGACTTCAACAAGAACAGTGGCAGTGGCAGTAGTTGTGGCGGTAGCGATAACAGTAGCGGTAGCGGTAGACCTCTCAGATTGATCTACGATGGCGATAAATCCTCCACCACCATTATCTCTACTCCACATCCTTCTTCACCGAAAGTCTTTAGAACAGAGAGAGAGAGAGAGAGAGAGAGAGAGAGAGAAATAAAATGATCGGTGAGTCACAACGTTAGAAGAAGTGGCGGAGAGATCGCCGGCAATTAAAGCAGTTCTGGTTTTGGTAGTTTAGAACAAATTTGGTCTCTGGTTCAGAATCGGCAATCGTCTCTTCGATAAAGTGCAACGTCGTTGATCTATTCCAAGAGTGTGTGTGTGTGTGTGTGTGTGTGAGAGAGAGAGAGAGAGAGAGAGAGAGAGAGAGAGAGATGGAAGAGTAAAAGATAGAGAGAGGTGGGGAGTGGATGGCGGCTATTGGCGATGATGAAAAGCAGAGATAGAAGTTTCCATTATAATTGAAGATGAATACAGGAGAGGAGAGAGAGAGATAGAGAAGAAGAAGAAGAAGAGAGACTGAGATCTGAGATATGAGGGAGTGAGATAAAATTTTCGCGTGGGAGGGCCGAAAGATATAAAGGGATAGTTTGGTCATTTTAAAAATATTTGTCCTTATGAATATTATTATTTAGCACGTGGACCTTTGGATAAAAGCAATTCAATTTTGGACTTTTGATGCTTATAAAATAATGACATTTATACGTTTTGTTTAGCATTTGACACATAACTTCACAAGCGTTAAATAATAAATAATATGAAGTATTATTTCATGACAATCAAATAACTTCTCCAGTTTAAACATTTTAGAACTTGTCAAATTTCATCCCAAAGTTAAATTTTGGCAATTGAGAATTTTTTTTTAAAAAAAATAAAATAGATCCCTCCAGTATGTTCATTTATGTTATCCTTGGTGCTAACACCAAATTTTGACAACTTTGATCGGTGTAACTTTTTCTCTAAAATTTACAAAGTTGCCATTTACTTAATTTTTAAATTTACTATTACATATACCATCGCATCTACAGTGAAGATTGAATTATAAGGTGATTGTGCCAAAATATGGTTAGTAATATAGTTTAATTTTAAAATTTTGATACTATAATATTGTCAAAAAAATAATATTAAGGCTTCGTTTGAGATGTGGATTGATTTTTTAACTTTTTGATTTTTTAGCTATTTTAGTGTGGGGCTAAAAAACCTCGTTTGAGGTAAGCTTTTTAGTCTTTTTGACTTTTGTGAGGGAGAAAAAATGAAATAATTATGATTTTGATGTGACATTTTGTCTTATTAACTTTTTAACTTATTTTGTGACTATTTTAGCCAAAAAGTCACAAACTTCTTTGATGGGTCGTTTCACACATCAAAAATAAATACTAAACTATACGAAATTCTTTTAGAATAATGGCAAGTCCAGGTATCGATCCACAAGGACAAACGGGAAATTAAACTAATGTAATTGTTAAATTATTAAATCAATTTTGATAAAAAGATTGATTGTTCATAACCTAATAACAATTAAATTAAACAAAGCGAATAAACTAGCAATTATAAATAAAGATGAATTTATCGATTTGGGAAAAAATCTAGGGCAATGAGTTCAACACTAATTATGTAAATAAGGTTTCAATTTAAAATCAATTATGCTACGGTTCGAACTAAATATTACTTCACAACTACAAGTTCGAATCATTTATTAAGAGAGTTATCACGTTCAATGTATAGGCACGAACTATCTCAAGTAGTACGAGTCATTCGCTCAAACTAAGGTAGCAAAACGAATCGTCCCTCGTAGTATGGCTCATCTCATACTTTGAATATAAAAGAAAAGAAAACCATTGTATGGAAGGCATTCAACAATCATAGAATGTCGAATACTCAAAGAACTAGTAGAAAATATATATTTGAAACTTCTAAAACACCATATAATTGTTTAAACCTTTACATAATCAAAAACCAAAAGAAAACCTAATTACATAGCTAGGGTTTCATCAAAATCCTAGAAAAGAAGAGCCTAGCCACTCATGGAGGAGGTGGAAGAGGTGGAAGCCCCCATGAAAGTTTTCTTTAAAGTTTGAGAATAATCACCTTTTCAAAACCCTAGCCTCATTTTCTTCAGAATAATTTTCGAACCCTTTTATAACCCATTTTTCTTCCTTTTATTCCCAGTAGAATAGACTGAAAATTTCACGCAAGCAACCCTAGGCAGACTGCTCGAGCGCCTATGTGGGCCACTCGAGCAGTGATGGACCGCACATGCACTCAGGTGGCAGGCTAGGCTTTTTCGTTCCTCGCACGAAGAATCTACTTTTGCGCCATTTTTGATTGGATTTGTGTGTTACTTGCCAAATCTGTACAAGTGCACCAAACACATTATCTCCACCAAATAAACAATATTGAAAGACTAAAAATGTAACTTAAGTGGTCTCAATGTGGTACCTTTCGGCCTACATCACATCCCCCAACTTACATTTTGCTAGTCTTCAAGCAAAACAAAAGAAATTAGAAAAGTAAAATAACTCTAAGCCACTTTCGTAAGGATCACGATTGCATTTAGCAGATGGAACAAGCCTTTAAACCACAAGGTTATCTTGAGTGGACGAGTATAGTCTCATGAGGGTTTCCAGAAATGATACCCACAAACATCATCATATTCAAATCTGCTCAACAACAATTAACCACACTACTTCACCTAACAATCAACTTATGTGTCACTACAGTGTGATATTAAGACATGATGAGTCATTGAAAGAAAAGTGGACAAGCATGAAGGAATCTATTGAGTCAAAATCACAATTCAGTTAATACAAAAGTAAAGTCCCCTTGGTGTAAAGTGCAATCTCCATACTAGTTAACTGTCTGCTATAATAGTCCAGTGTAACTCATAATAACCCCCAATATATACAGACAAGATTAAACTTTTGTAACCAGGATTCTCAAAATTGTTTTTTATTTTATTTTTTTTTAATGAAAAAACTGTGCGATATCCTAATCTATTAAGCTTTCTAATCAACCCATATAATAAGAATTGGACCAATGACTCCCAAACCAGACGGTTTTAGGGCACTAGGTGTGAAGATACCCCTACGGGCTTAATAACTCGAGTTGAAAAGGTTACGAATCCGAACAAGTCATTTTCCTTATTTTTTTTCTTAACTGTGTAACATCTAGGTCCCTTAAGCTTTCTAATTAACCCATGTAGCAAGTATTGGGCCAATGACTCCCAAACCAGACGATTTTAGGGCACTAGGTGTAGAGACATCTCGACGGGCTTAATAAATCGAGTTAAAGAGGTTACGAACCCAAAAAAGTCAAGTGTTATTTATTTATTTATTTATTTTGAGAATCGAGGCTAGTCATTTATTCTTTTCTGCCACACTAGCAATTATCAATGATGTAGACCAAGGATTAGAATAGAGAGATCACACGCTATGAAAGTGTTTCTATGTGAATCAAGGCATACTCATGACAAGTGTACTAATACCACAAACACAAACAACTGTCCTAGTTCAAACATCACATGCGAGTATTTACCCAATAAACCCTTTTCATACAAGTCCACTATGTTCCCCAATTAACACATGCGTATAACACTACCATACTGGCACAAAGTGAACATCAAGTGAAGTGGTGCAATCAAGCGCAACAAGTACAAACATGAATTGTTTTAATAAATACCCTCACTATCCAATTGGAATACAACATTGTCTTCAATGCAAGCAACTATAAATGAGGTTGTAAAATGAGAGAGAAAGGATCTTACCAAACGGCGTAGGCGTACATCCAAGGAGGCATGGACGAACCAAATACACACACGCAATTTTTTTTTTTTTTGGGACTATACCATATTAAGGAAAAGAAAAAATGAAATAAAACAAAAAAAAGAAATAAAACAAAGAAAATAGAGCAGAGATCACTGATTTGGATCCGGCGGTGGTGGAAAATGCTGCTCAAATAGGGCATGCATCAATGTCCGAGTCTCGAACACCTCATTATGAACCCTAGTGCCAAGCTGATCAAACCGCTACTTGCTTGACTCCCAGTATGTGTAGAAATCAGTTTGCAGAGATGCAACTAACTGCTG